TTTTAAACATTGTTTTTGGTTTTTCTGGAAGTCTTAAAAGAGCTACTAAAAATTCCTATTGAATTTTTATATAATTTTTAAGTATTATTTTATGTATTTTTGCATTCCGAATTTTTATTAATTGAAATGTTATTTAAAGTGTAATTTTTAACTAAAGAAAGCTTATACGCATTGATATTCTCGAGTTATTGCTTTCATTTCACGAAGAATATATTTATATTGATGCGTATATCTTTGTATTACTTAGTAAGGATTTTTTTATTATCAACATAATAGTTATTCAAAAAATGTCTAATAGAAAAATTGATAGAGCTTATGTTATTTCGGCATTTGTCAGAAAGCAGTTTAGGAAATGAATGATAGCATCCATGTTGATGCAGAAGACAGGATCACTTGTCGAAACTGATGAGCGATAAAGCAATTGCTGAACAGAAATGAAATGATCAGATAAAATAAGATTTATTGCATAGAATTCGTAATACAATTTTCTGTTACTATAATTACAGAAAATACAAATAATAATTAAATTTAAATAAGTCGTGTCACTTCATTTTAAGTACTTTCAAGATTTATAGCACACGGACGTTACGGCAATCGAAAGTAGTTAAATAATTACCATCTTATATAGTATTTTTAACACGTCTACCAGGTGAATTCCGAGATTTTATTGAATTATTCAAAAGTAGTTGTTGATCTGACTTCCATAAAAGTTGAAGTACTGCGTAATAGAAAAGAGTATAAAAATTAATTCTCTTATTTCTTTCTATTAATACTTAATTCCTCTTCATCGAAATCTTAATTTTTACTTGACTTTTACAGTTTGTTTTTATGTTTCAATTGATACCGGAGATGTGTTTTTCATGAGATTTTCCAAATTTCATTTTATCACTTGCAATTGCAACTTGTAACACTTCACAAAGCTTCTACTGATATTAATGTCATTGTAGATAGACTGACTCTCACTCTCTCGGGTTTCAATGCAGAAACTCCGCATTGTCGTACAAATGTTTTATTTTATTGAGATCTGTAATTAAATTTTCACTTTAATGTAATGCAATTTTTCAGTTTGGAAATTAGAATGTCCACAGCGGCTAATAATTAATTTCCTTGAATTTCTAAAGCTCCGGGTTTAAAATAAATACAATGCTTTAAGTTTTAATCTAATTTTGGAAATAGAAAAAATTTATGAACGATTTATGAAATTTATCAGGAAAATTGTAAATAAAACGTCAATTTTTATTATTAAATATTTAGCTCTAATACTGTATATGAAAAGTAAAAATCATGTTAAAGCATACAAATTTTAGTTTTAAATGGAACTTCCATCTTGATGAAAAATAGCATAAGTTATTTTGAACCAACTCACGAACTTCTCAAAATTACTCTCGGTATAAACGTAATGCGGGTATTTCAAATAAATACAAATAATTTATTCATTTGTAAATTAGACACCAAGGAGAACTGAGCCAAATGACTCTACACTGTACACTTAAAGACATCAGCTGACTTCTTTATTCTTAATGACATTGCATAGTCTATCGGCTTCCCTTTTTTTCATATAAACAAAAATAATAAAAGCTTGGATGTCGGAAGTGATTATTATTTTTACTTACTCATTTTGACAGCATCTAAGTCTGTCCAAACCAGAATGTGTTTCAAATTCTGTATTGCCACATCATTATCTCTCTCCGTTCTCAGATTCCTCCAGGGAAATCCGAGCTTTTGTTTGGCCGTCAACGAGTCGAATGCAATTTCTCCCATTCTATATCCGCTCCCCCCTTTAAAATCAAGACTTTGTGTTTTGAAATTTCAATTATGCTTCCGATCTGTCATATAATCGCCTCTCCATTTCAGATTACGCATTTATTGATTTTTTGACATTTTTAATGAATACCTGACTAAGCATCGTCTTTGATCAGAATTCAAACTAATCAATGTCTTAAATAAGATCTTATTATTATGGGAAATAATTTCAAACAATAAATTTAAGAATATTCAGATTTTTTTTTGGCCTTTTCCCTCCAAAATTCAAATATGAGCAAAGTATAGACACACAAGTTTAAAATCATGCCATAGTTATTAATTTTAAATAAATTAAGTGCACCAAGAAACTCAAACAATTCCATTATTATTAAATTTGGCACATTTAACAAGGGAATTATAAAGGAATTATAGCACAAACTCTGTTGACACATTAGATTATTGTATTAATACTGACTTCATTACAGCGAATTCCATCAAATGATTAAATCTCTGAGCTCTGTTGTGCACATATGGAAATGAAAAAATAAACATAATAATAATAACTGATAAAATGCAAGCATCAAGCCAGTAAAAAATAAACTTTTGATGCCAAGTTAATTTTGTACTTTAAATAGAATTTGGCAATTTGAAATGAAAACAATTTTCTGATAAGACAGAGGAAAACAAATGGAATGGAATTTGCACAAAATTAATCCTTTTATGCTGAAAAATACTTTAAAAGAAATGACTATTTTGAGCTGGATGTAGAGACAAAATTTCATTTTATGGGATTTTTCAGCAGGCTGAACCTGTTTTGTAGTCAATCATAAATATTTTCAGAGGCAAAGATAGTTATATATATATATATAATGTAATTTTATTCTCAATCTTTCAAAAGTTTCTAGAATTAAAAATTGGCTATTATGAATATTTTACATTTCTATTAGTGAAATTCTAATATAAATAACTTACATATATAAACAAACTGTTTTGTATAACAAACAAATTTTTAAAGAAAGGAAAAGAAAACATATATAGCTACTACATGTAATTATTTTGTAATAAACTGAACATTTTGGCAATGCGTATCATTCCATTTTCCCTCCTACTGACTAACAGCCTGCAAATTACAGAGGCAAAAATAATTTGTGACGACTTAACAATTTGTCTATAGGCAATTTGTCATCTCAGTTCATCTGCTGCTTGGCTAACGTAATCCTGAATAATTGAAATCTACTATAATCATGTTAAGCAGAACCAAATACATTAACAAACAGAGTTCAAAAGTGCTAAAATAGAGACTTATAGTAGAATAAGTTACCAAACAGGAACAAAATAGATAAAAATTAAATGATTTTAAAAAACTCAGAATGGATAAATCAAGAAAACAAATTACAGAAATTGATGTATTCAATCATTTCTGCTATAATAATAAAAAAAACAGAAGAATAATATTATGACATAATATTAATACTATTCATTCTAAACTTCATTCTAAACTTCATTCTAAAAGCAGAAAATTTTAATGTAGACATCTACTCTATTATTGACTATTTTAAAATCTCAGTTTACTTGTTTCTTCTTTGAATTTAACAATATATATAAACTACAAGCCATTCTTTTACTTATTTAAATTAATTCAAATTATTAAGTAGATATTTTGAAAAAGTATATACATAAGATTTCAAAGTATGAAATAAAAGGGATAGATTTTTTTGTTTTAAACTGTCGTAGTTAAAGATTAATTAAAATATAGAATTATGTTGCATCAAATTAGCTAAGAAGTTTAATATATATTAATGAACAGAATGTGTTATATAACAGATAATTTCTGATATTAATTTCACATTAATTATTAATTATCTTAACATAATAAGCTTTATCTTACAGTTGTCATCTTTATTGTGAATGAAAAGATAGCATTGTTCATATTCAAAATGACTTTACAAAATTCAAATCACATCCAGAACATTAATATTTAATTTCTTTTTTTAATGAAAGATAAATTTATAAATTGCAAATTGTCCCAATGAATTAATCCTAATACAGGTAATCCCTGTATAACACAGCACTTCTATAGCACAAATTCACTCTAACATGATTCAAGAATTGGCAAAACCCTCGAACAACATTAAATGTAATAAAAACTATTAAAAGCAAACTTTATCTAATTTGAAATTAGAGAAATCCCCGTACAACAGTTCAATAAATGTGATAAAGTTTTTAAGTGTGAAAGATACCTCATTTGACATTTTTCATTCAAGTGCGTATGTACTATCAGATTTTCTTGCATAATTTTTGTGAACTATTAGTACTTAAGTATGTAAATTTTCTTTTCCCGCCTTCTATCAATACATGTGGTCCTTCTCAAAACTTGTTTTGGTGTTGCCAGAAGTTTTTCCCTTATTCCATACTTGCTTTATTCCATCCCCGGTTTTTAGATCTTTTAACTAAAAGCAAGCAATCTAAAATAACATATTTTTTGCAAAAGGTAGAGCATGAATCTGAAGATAATGCTGAAAAATGCCCAGAGGATAAGGATATCTTGCCAAAAAGAAAACACCCTTGGTTAATAATGCTTAGTGATGATGAAGAAAACATTGTTTAATTTAAGAAGTGATACATATTAATATAAATACAGTAGAACCTTGAAAACTTGGCCTAATGTGGACCGAAGGGTGGCCGAGTTTTTGAAAATGCCGGGTTATCGGGAATGGGGTTAAAAAAATAAGTACGAGTGTTTCCTCAGAAAATACTGTACTGTACTGTACTTGTATGTATTGTTTACTTGAGAATATAACAGAGAATAAACTGCCCAAATATTCTTAAACAAAGGAAAAGTACGTCCTTTATGAAGGCATAGAGCCTTTACTACATGAAAATGAAAATTAATGAATACACTGTGTACAGTAATTTACCTGATAAGACAGACCTCAGAAAAATACTTTATGAGAGCCTTTATACTTTTATAAAGCTGTCCATAATGAAAATTAATTAACTAAGGATTTTTTTGCCCTGCCAGGGTGTGGCCGGGTTATCGAGAGCCGAGTTTTTGAGGTTCTACTGTATCTTTATTAAAATTTTTTTATCTTAATTATGAAAATATAAAAGCATATTTTTTTAATTTTTGGAACCTAACCCCCCCTTTTCATACTAGTTCTTTGTTTCGTATAACACAGATTCTCATAACACGGCAATTTTTTAAAACAATTCCCATGTTATACAGGGGTTACCTGTATCTACAGTACACTTGTATGAAACACATTAATAAATCAATAATTGTTTAGTATTAAATATCTAACCTTTTCTTGAATGTGAAGTTCCTCCATATCTTTGGTGGCATCCTCTTCGTCTTCGATGGTCATTTGTTTTTCTTGTTCTTCTTCGTCACCTTCGTCGGAATCTTCGTCTCCAGAAGAATCGACTGTAACATTTACTGGTGGAACTAGAAAAATAAACAGATATTTATCAAAGTGATGCATTATTATTTAGTTTAAGTAAATTATATAGAGTTTAGTAACATGAATTAGTCTTCTCTATGTTGAAACTGTGCTTTTTTTTTTCTTTTGTTATATTTTGAGACACCATGAAGTGTTGACACTAGACACTGGACTTTCCTCATCCACTTTATTTTATGTACTTTATAGTCTTTAAACTAATTCTTCCAAGTGCCAAAGACTTTAAAGTACATAAATAAAGTGAATCAGTATTATAAAATAATTATTCATGATCAATTAAAGGAGATGAATCAATTATTTTAAAATAATTTTGGAAAAATTTTCAGTTTAAAAATTGCTCTTGAAAACACAGATGAAGTGTGGAGAGAAGTTACAATAAGTAAGATCAGGGCCAGTTGACAAAAATTAATTAATTCCTGAATACACAAACGATTTCCAAAGAATGATTCAACTCTAAAACTAATAGTAACTTAGAAAAATTAGACAACTTGGACTAGATCTAGAATTAACTGAAATAGACAAGAATGCAGTTCAAAAATTGTCCCAATCCCATTACAGAGATCTTACCAATGAGTAAGTTACAGTGGAACCTTGGTATATGACCTTAATCGATTCCTGATGTTTGGACTTATACCGAATAGGACGTATACCAAACCAACCTTTCCCATAAGAAGTAATGTAAAAATGATTAATTCATTCTCATGTAAAAAAAAGTGACTGGCTTTAAACACCTTGCTTTCCTGGTTAGTTCCTGCTTGATTTTTCATGAGATCAACATGTATCTTTTTAGCTTTCTCACAAATAATTGCTTCTGATATGCTGTCGCCAGCACACTGTTTTTCAGTTATCCAAAGCAAAAGCAATTTCTCAACATGATCTAATGTCTTCAATCTCTGTTTAGAAATTGATTTAACCCCTTTTGCAACGTTAGCAGATTTAAAAATGTTTTTATTTTTTATGATTGTCGATGTCGTCATTCTCGGAATACAGTATGCAACAGTTAAATCTGGAACATGCATGCCACCTTCATATTTCTCAACAATCTCTTTTTTTCAGTTCCATGTGATTCTAGTCAATTTTTTAATTTTCTGTTGCTTTTCATTTGCCTTTTTGCAATTCATGATTAATAAAAATAATAAAATTTTACTTACAAATTAAAATCAGAAGAAATTTAACAAAGTTATAAACCGTGGCACCGCAAATGTCTAGTCTGGTCTAGTACACCGATAGTGCTGCTTGTTCATAAACGTGCATATAATTGAATTAAGTTGTATACCGAGCAAAATTTGTTTCGTCCAAAGAGGACGTATTCCGAACTGGACATATTCTAAAGCAGACGTATACCGAGGTACCACTGTATTAATCTGGATGCAAATCAACCATACAAAGCTCAGAGTAATAGCAATGAAGATTAAGACATAGAAACAGCAACAAAGGAATTCACATTAAAAAGTACTTGATGAAATGTTTCATGTCTGTGAATCTCTCGACAAAAAATAATGGATGGTGATCCTAATAGGCCTCAGATACACCACAACATTTTTGGAATAAAAGCTGAATGTCAATAAAGTTACATATGCAAAAACTGCAAGATGCTATATACAACTTAAATTGCATATCCCATTAGCAATCTGTTGTTCACTTCCGGACATTGCAGTTCCACAATTGCATTCATTGTGATGGCACACATTCTTTCCATTCAAATTATAAAACATGAAAGCAGTCACAATTAATTTAATGTATTATATTTACTTGCATATAAGATGATTTCACATATAGGATGAGGTATGACTTTAAAGATTAAAATACAGAAAATTAGATTTATTAATACAATTCTAATTTTATTTCATCTAATCACAAATAAAATATCAAATGCACATAAATGCATTTCATATTTTATTGTCCTGCAAAAATTACTGGCATTTTAATCTTTAAGGAAAAATCTTGTAAATCGGCAACAAAATTTTTTCATGTAATCAGGAATCTTTTTTGCCAATTCTTAACAGCCGAATCCATACTTATGAGTTTCTCCAAATTCTGATTTCCAAATAATTATCTGTTTTCACATGGGAATGGATTAAAACTTATAGTGGGCTGCCATGTGATTTTGGAATTTTAATTTGAAATTCAATTCAAAAGCTTTGTTTTTTCCTATTGCTATTCATCTTTACTGCTGCAATACACAAGAACAATTGAAACGACTCAGATAAAACATTTTTGTTTTTAAACACCATAGGATGAGCATCTGATAAAAAATTAAAATACAGGGTTCACAAAAATTATTGCAAAAACCTAGAATCCTTTGCTCACGCATATAAGATGACCTAGGTTTTTGAAGCAGTGAAAAATGAATAAAAACCTCATCTTATATGCAAGTAAATATGATATTTAATTGACAAGAATAGTGAAGATGACAAAGAATATAAATATATATTTGGCTTATTTGGGTGCAGCTGTAGTTTGTTTTTAACCAAGGATAATGTCACTCATGTCAATCAATACTAGATCATCACTAGTCAGCTTATTAGGACTATAAGCAAACACAGTCACACAATTCTCAACAGAAACTACAGGAAAACTTCTCTGAAGCAAGATTTCATCAAAAATGTCAATGTACTTTGTCTCAAATGGTCACATGTTACTGCAACTTTGTTAAAGTTGCACAGTGTTCGGGCCAGCTAATACTGAACATTCGATGAAACTGTGCCAAGAAATAGAAAATGACACTCTTACTGAGCTACATAGAAGATAAGAAATTTTTATAGTAGTCACCTACATTATTTTTTGAAAAATAAGTCATCTAATGTGTTTTTTTTTATTTAACAATCAAAGCAGCATTTAATTTACTACCTCTTTCCTTTATTAAGTACTATGCTAAATATTTATATACTTTAAAGATTTAATCATAATTTTGGAATATTCCTACAACAATCTTCTATCTGCCATGCATTGTTATTCTCACTTAATGCAATGTTTTTCTTGGCAACATTAACAACAATAACCAGGGTTTATCTGTATAACGTTTTTAATTTTTTTTAAATTAAAAATCTTCATCCCATCTATAAAATTTATTGTAATTTCACTCACTACTTTTTGAAGAACGAGTATAATAGGATGATAAGCAATAAAAGTTCAAATTAACATTTTTTTTTGCATAACAGAAATTTTAAATGATACTTTAATGCAAGAAAAATTTAATTTTTAGCAATGGAATAGTTGTTTTTATTCTCTGAACTGTTTACCAATGATACTGTTTGCAATTTTATTTTTTAATTTTGTGTTTGAACAACTTTAATGATAACCTCTCAAAGAAAGAAAGAAAAAAGCAAAACAAAACTGTACTATTAATCAAATTCTTAGTTATTTTTAGCACATAGAAGAGCTGTAAATAAAAACTGATTTATAATATTAAAGTGTCTGCACAAGTTAAAACTTTTAAAAAGTTAAAAAACTTTTTTTTGCCGCAAGGGAGCAGCAATGAAAATAATACACATTATATCACAATAAATAAATATTCCATTCTTAATTTATTTTAAAATTTTAATTGCTTGTTCAATGAATTAAAAAATTTCCATAGAAAACAAAAACAACTGCATTTCATTTATTCTGCATCACTTTTCCATATTTCTTAGCATTTCATGTTCAACTGAAAAATTTCAACATTAGCAATTTGAAATTTCTGATAATTTATTTTATAAAAATACAAAAGTATCATTTCAAGAATAAGATGCAAATTTAAAAAAAAAAACACTATTTAAAAAAAACAAAGGTAACTTTCAATATTGAGATAATAAAATTTTTGATTTGTTATGTGTGACACTAGTGTAAATTTTGGATTTCACATGCTTCAGAAACAATGCATGTATCCTGTAAATAATGCATGTATTGTTTCGAATGTTACAATGAACCGAAGTCAGTCCAAAAACATTTCTCCTTGACTTAACCATGGTTTTCATAATTAGCTATATTTCATTCTTCAAAAATAAGCCTTACAGAAATTTCCAAGAAAATATGGCTTCCAATAAATTTATAAATTTCATAAAATAATAATGACTGTCAGATAACTAAATAGGTTAAGGTGTCAACAACTCTGGAGGATCTAGTTTTAAATTGAGGTCAAGAACCTTAGGAATTATTGGGTGGTTTTTGTTCTGGACACAACAAATTCCAATACCTTCGATAAGTGGGCTTGGCAAACTTGTGTCAAGTATCAAAAAAACCCCTTTAAGTTCATAAGAAAAAAGTAGGAAAGATTTTATGAACATGTGTAAATTTATTTAAAAACAATCTAAAATTATTAAAGTAAAGAGTAAACTCTTCATAGTACAGAATATTCAAAGTAATAGCATTTTTCTCAGAATATGTGTCAGGCAGCAATAATTTTGTCACAGTAATAGAACTAAAATATTCTGTTGCCCATCAAAAATTCCTTATAAGTCTTTGTATATTTTCAATTAAATTCATTGCACTTACATTGAAATTAGTAATTATGTAGAATTTTGTTTTAATGATTTATTTTTAATTTCTCCATTTTACATTTTATTTGAATAGTGCACAAAAATAAAATAAAACTCATTCAAAAAAACAAGGTACAAAGTAGAAAATGCTTCAAAAAATAAATAAGTATTTTTGAAAAAAACAAAAAAAAGGAAAAAAGGAATACATGGTATTAATTAATTTATTAGATCTAAAAATTAATATATTATACAGTTTTTGCTTTATACCAAGGCTGCCCAAACCCTGGTCCGCCAATGCATTTGAATTTGTCCACCCACGGTAGCGGTCGGCTGTCACCATGCGCGATGCCATGCTACCAATAAATGCCAACCACCACATGATTGGTTGAATGCGGAATGAACTATGACTTGAGTCACCGCCACACTGCTGTTAATACCTGACCTATGCATTTATTACACTTGTTCTATTAGTTCTGAGTTGACTTTTGTGTATTAAAATTAAATTGTTGTCACCAAATATTGAAAAATTATTAGCTAATAAGCCCCTTCATAGGTCTCATTGATGTATTTTTTATTAGGTATTATTAAAAACATGTGCAATTTAAAGCTTTGTTTGATTCAAATACCTATCCATTTATAGAAGAATCATGAGTGTAAGCAAGTATGATTCACTAGGTAGCCTGCCGGCTGACAGGTAATTGAAATTATAGCACGCCTCCAAAATGAATTGGGCAGCCCTGCTTTATACTGTCCTACTCTTTACCATTCCATTTTATCGTCATAAAGCTGTTACTTTTTGTATTATCTTGTAAACACAAGATATATACAAGTTTATATGTTAATATTTTTATTTAAATATTGTATTTAATTTTTATATTTTTGTTACCATATTCATATTTTTCTTCTTTGTAAAACAGTGGACGTTACCATTCCTTGTAAACAAGTTCCCCTTCCATACCTTCTGATTCACCCAATCTGCTCAATATCCTTTTGCTAGGACCTTTCCTCCTTTTTCTTATGCTACTTCATATTCCCTCACTCTCTTCCTTTCTGACCGAGACCCTTAAGTAGACTACTCACAAATAATAATAATATTAATATTCTTCTATGATAACTCTGATCTTGCTGCATTTTAATGATAAGACACAATATTGAAAAGAAAACTTCCAACTTCAGTCTTATTCATTTTTTAGCTATTTTATCTTATATAAGCTCAAAATAATGAAAAATTTGAAAGGCTACCATCAACTATGCTCCAATGATATTAAGTCCTAAGAGTTTACTAGATGTACCTTGTTTACTACACCTTTAATCCTGTAAGAAAACTTAGCACTTAGAATCAAATGGTTTAAAACTTTCTTATCCACCCACCTTTTGCGGCATCCACTTTTTCGATTTGTTGAGCATCGGATTTCGACTTGCTGAGTGTGTCATAGCAATGAAGGCAAACTCGAAGAGGTTTAGAAGATTGTGTAGGTAGGAGAAACTTTTTGCTCGAGCATGGATTACAAACTACTGCACCACATTTTCTACAATGATGCTGAAAATTTTTAAAATATACTATTTTAATATTAATATGATATTCTCTTTAAACTAATATAAACATATCATGTGTGAACACAAATTTATTTAAAACAGATGTTTATAAATTATATTCTAATAAGATATATTCTAAAATGTGTTTACCAAAATTAATGTAATTTAAATTTCATGAAATCTGATGATTTCATGAAATTTAAATACATATACTTCAAAGATCGTAATTTCATTTCTGAAAGGCAAAGATTAATAATTTATGTTTACAGTTTCAATATGTATGTAAATCATATTCTTTTTCATTTTAAGTTTATAAAAGTTCTAGTTTTCATTAAGAATAAAACTGAGATTACATAATTGATACTAGACCAAGTATTCAGCAAGTTTGGAAACAGAAGTGGTCAGGATTTTTAAATTTTCTGGTTTTCTTGACCCAGACTAAATATATAATAATAGAAAATAATGAACAAAACAAAAAATGAAAATTATAATTCTGACAAAAAACTCAACTGCAAGAGGACTGTCTATATAATAGCAGTCCCATCAGAACTAGCATGTAATTATGCCATGAAAACTAAAACAAAGTGCCCAGATGGTGAACTACAGACTGCCAAATTCAAAATGCCAATTTTCCACTAATTCCAGATTTCCAGGAACTGGATATTTGGTCTGATACTGTATCTACATGTAATGTGAATCGACAAAATCATGGATGTTATTGTAAAAGATTATATTATATACAATCTTGTTAAAGGTGTGAGATCGAGCACTTGTTTTTGCACAAATTTAGAGAAAATCTTAAGCTTATTTCTCCATTGCGATTGTTAAGAAAACATTGAATAGAAAAAGGATTGAATGTTGTCTTTCTCATCAACAACAGCTAAGAAAGTGTAACAATTTACAGTTAAAGGGATGAGAACATAAACATTCATTTGTATAAACGGGATGTATCTAACGTTGCATGAACCAAAGATTACATTCTACGTCCCATTTCGACACCTTTTTATCTCCCTGGATCACCTCTAACCCAACACCTGCAGATTCGTCATTAAACATTTGATCACCTGATCATTTTCCCAGGCCAGAAACAAATATAAGGACGCAGCACCTCTACTTTGAGGCATTTGTCCCCCAGAGCAAGAAGCAGCTCTATCCTCTCTAGAGGCAGACAACACCAGTCTCCTGTCATGCCATATTCAGTGGATGTCCATTGAATGAACTTCTCCGGCCCGTATAGAACAACGGAGAGAAGACTTGACATATAGAATGGACTCCTTACAAAGCTTCCTCCTCACCATACAACATAGAAGATGATGGCTCAAATTGCCAAATAAGAAATTGGATCCCAAAACATGAAAAACATTCTAAGAAGGAAATGCCATCCCTAAACATTAAACGACAGTGATTATAATTCAACCTCAACCAAGACAGAAAACAGCATCTCAATAGCATCATTCTCAGAGGTATTTGAAGAGTCAAATTTGTAAACCCTCTCTCCGTGTTCAATATTAGTTTATAGGAAACTGGAACCGCATCTCACGAAGCGACACGGCTATGGGTAACATTTAGTTGTGCATTTTGTAACTCTAGATTTAGCTTAGTAGATTAAATGTTATTTGTATTTGTTAACCTGGCTACCTGTCGTCGTTCGTCATATTGACTTACTCATGACCTCCCCATTCCATTAATAGCCCTCCTAGCCATCCAACAGACATAGAGACTGGGTTTTACCAACCCGTTCTGATTAAGTGGTCATTAGGGATTGCCCCCTTGGCCCCCGGTGTAAAAAGGCATAAAGCAATAAACCATAAATTAAATTTGTTGTACATGATTATATATATGTACTGACCTGCAATGTAACAAGCACTAAATGATTGATATATTTATTACAGTTTATGGACTTCAAATGCATAATATCAAATCTTTTTCTCAAGATACCATATTACTTTAACCACAGTCCAAAAAACAGTTTGGTAAAACCAAGGAAATACTTAAAAATACTAAGTAATACAATTATCATATTGTTTTAAACACTCATGAAATTTAAATACATATACTTCTAATTAAATATTTTTCACTACAGCTAAGTTTAGTACAGTTTAACATTTATTAAAATATAGACAATCTGAAATTATATCATCGTTACTAAAATTTTATTAAAAATACATAAAATTTGATAAAACTTTGATAAAATCCTTAGTTATATATCTCTTATACTTTCCCGACTCTTCATCCAAGGTGAAATGTTAAAAACAATAAACTGGTATTAAAAAGACTTAATGTTTTTAACATTTCATCTTGGATGAAGAGTCCATTTAGTAATTAAATATAATACCTGACTTTGGTAATTTAAAAAAAAGTTGAGAGTAATTGCTCTTATTCTTTTTTAATAGATTTTATATCATCACCACTTAATTTTTAAATTTACTTACATCCTTATCTTTGGTCTTACTAGCAAATACTTTAAAAATTAGATCTTAGCCTACTTCAACAATCTTTTCAATTTTAAAATATTAAAAAAAAAAAAAAAAAGCACAGACAATTAAAAATAAGTTTCTGCAATACTCTTCAGAGAAGAAAAATGACTTTCTAAATACTTATTATTCGTAAAACATTCTCAAACACTTTCTGTAATTGTCCTCTAGTTTACAACAGATTAAATTATTAAAGCAGCATCTTTCAATTTTTTTTAAAAACAAACTCTACAATATATCAATTTATAATTGATAAACCAGTATTTATAACTTCCTTTATTCAGAAACAATACAGAAATAAGAAACTAACAAGCAGAGCAAAATACTTGTTAATATATGCAAGTAATAAATTGTTGAAACTTAAAAAATGGAGATGAGATATGTCTATTAAACATTTATAACAAAAGTAGATTTAATATTTAACGAAATAATCAGTTTCTAATTTATTTCTATTTAAAAAACTCAAAAACCTGTTCTGATGTTTCAATGACTAATTATTTGAAAGTTTAAGATCTCAAATTTGGATTGCTACCAACCAGTAATTATTCATTTTTATGAAATGTAAATGATTCATTACTGAACTGATAACTTTGATTCATTACGTAACTAATAGAGTGGTCCACTACTGAGTAATGTCGAATTATTCACTTATGACTCAGACTAAGCAAACATGATCTTTTATGGCTTGGAAAAGAGAATCAACTTGTGCATAAATAACGATTCATGTAATATAAATGCAAGAAAAGTTAAAAATGAATACCAGAAAGTCTACATTCAGAGTAAGAAAAAGAATTAAGACTATTCTTCACGATAAAAAATTAGAGCCATTTTATTTTTTCAGCTTGAAAAATATTTTTAAAAGAGTATTTATTTAAATATTATAAAGTCTCTGTAAATCCGCATGAAAAATATATAAATTTTCGGTTTAGCAGTAGACCATCACACAGCAGATAGCTAATTACTTCTCTTTATTTAATCACTGTATATGCATTTCAGCAGTCATAAGAAATTTAATTTAAGTATTTATTTAGAATAGAATCTGCATATGTTTAACACATTGTTATAGAGCAAATTACAAAATTAATAGCATAGCATTTGTAGACTCTGGGCTTTTTCATTAAAGTCAATCCATGTTTTGTTTAATGACTCACCGAAGTAATGTAGGCCATTTACCTTCTCATTCTGTGTTTATTCAAATCATGTTAATGTCAATCATTTGACATGCCCCTTTTATGGAGGGTTATAACTGTCTCACGATAGGAGTTAAAACCAGGATCTCAAGTATGCTTTTAAGTTAGATATGACTCCTTGATTGCATTGCATAGCTGAAGCAATGATTTATTGGCAGAAAGGATTATTATTTTAATGTTTTTAATGACATCATTAATATATGAATCATGTTGTACTATTGTCTACCAACAAAACAATCCTCTCTTTCAAGTTTACATCCCATTTAACTAAACAGTTGTAAAAATATTAATGTTTCACACCTTTAGAACTAAGATTTTTACTATTTTCAGTCACTAGAATTGCCTTTCACATTAGCATGGTAAAAAATTAATATGCTAAATCATTAGCACTTTCATAGTAAGTATGACTGGACATTACACAAAAGTAAAGTACTGTTTCATGTGCATTGCACATATTCCTTGATGAATATTTGGCAATAATGGTATTCTCTGTTCATTCACAATTAAGATAATGCAGAACTTTTCTCCTCACTAATGCATCTGTGTATGAATGTTCTTGTTTTCCCCCTAGTCAAACCATGCATTGTGTACAATAAAATCTTTCTCACATTTTTAGCTAATTCTGCTATCTAACGATTCATTACCATAGCATTAACATATTCAAATCATGTCATCATTTTGTCCCAATGACATTTCAATATTCATTCTATTTAGATACAAACATCTACTGAAACCCAATGCTTAGCAAATATACACCCACACCTGCCATAAATAATCAGGCTATAATTTGGAAATATTATTCATGAATTACAAATAAATCACTCTATTTTTCAAAATCTTGCACAAAATTGACTGAAATTTTTAATTGTGCATTGGCATTACATTGACTTTTGGCAAATTATAACATTGTTGTAAAATTTCAAGTTTATTTTTGAAAGGCAAATTTTTGCATTTATTTGCTTCTTCCATTAAGAGATGTCACACAATTTAATTAAATAGTAATGAAGATCACAGTTTTGAACAACAGCAAACAGCCTGTAAATGAAGTAATGAGTGCCAGAAATCAAAATTTAAACTACAGTATTGTATGAACATTGAGTGCAAGATTAAAACAACATATTAAGAATGATGATCATATATAATTGGATGGCTCAATTTAAATTAATTCTGACTGTTGAACTAATATTTATTGGAATTAAATAACTTATAACCATTATCATTTGTTTTGTTGGTTAGCCGTAATTAACCATTTAAGTAAATTCAAAACTTATCATTAGTAATATACTATAAACTGAAAAAGATACATATCATCTTTTAAATTCCAGCACTATATTTAAGTTTCAAATTGCAACCATTTTGGTCATGTTCAATGGCCATTATTAGTCAAAATTCTAAGAACATAATAATCAAACCACCATTGGAATTCCGCTTAAAAATTAGAATCTGAAGCACAATTGGTTATAACTCCGTAGACATTGTTTAGTAACACAACTTTAGTAATATAGTGATACTTATAAGCAAGATCAAAGAGCAGTGCCTAAATGTGAGAGAGACAAATGCATTATCTTCAGCCTGGAAATACATCATTGAAAAAAGACATAAAAACCCCTGAATTGTGTCCCCCATAACATATTTGGCTTTTGTGTTATACTATCATAGTTTTTATTATATATTTTTCTTATTTGCATATTTATTTATATTTTGTTAACATTGTATATTTTTTAGGTTTATTTTTATTTAACATCAACCTTATATTTCATAAGTTATTTATTTAATTCATCTCAGTTTAAATTTGTATTTAGAATACTTCAAAGGTTAAATTTTAAATGGAATGTTCTATTTGTGGAACATAGTCTATAAACGGTTTTAAGAAACCTGATGATGGCCTATAGGAGTAGGCTGAAAATGTTAGTGAATAAAAATATTCTCTCAGCAAATGAATATGTGTGGTAGAAAATTTGTACTTTATCTCTGCTGAGCATGTCCGAACTGTAAAATCTTTACATTTTAAAACATTTATCTTAAGTAACTATTTAACATTTAGTTGTATCATTTAATTATTAACCATACTTAATTTTTTTCTTTGATAGATTGGAAAAGTGCTAATTATCTTAATACTATAAATTCTTTTTTAGGACATGTTTAATCTTCTTTACAAACACTCATACTATAGCCATAAATACATTTCAGGTTTTTTTTAATCCTTTCATCAGTATGGCTGCCAATTAAAATCCCATTGTCTTTTTTTTTTTTTTAATAAAACTTTTTTGCACTAAAAAAAAAAATCATTAAAATCTATACATGCTTGTAAGACATCTTATTGGCAGAGAGACCATATCTAAATATATTTTACTATAAAGGTTTTGATTAGCTATCTTCTGAACACTACAATAGTGTGGTTTGCAAACACAGGTTTTAATGAATGCAAAGACATCAAAAAAAATAAACAATAAATTTTAATTGGCAGCAACACTGATAAGGGAATATAAAATAGCCTGAAATATTAACATATTACAAGTGTTGATTATTACATATTCTAAGATGATTTAATTATACTAACATTATTAAAAATTAGTATCTACAATAGAGCTTCTTAAAGTAAAAGGCTGTGAGATGACTTCAGAGAACCAGAGACAAAAATAACATTTTCATAAAATAAAATTGCTTTGACTATTCTTATTACATTATTATATGATACAGAAAAACAAAATTAAAAAATATTATGCAGAGGAATATTTAAATAAATTTACTCAATAAAACAGGGATTGCAGGGGTACACATCTTATAATTGTTGTCCTTAGGGTCACAGCATAAAGTTTATAAACAACTACACTAGAATATCATGGTTACTAATATAGAAGAGAAATGTTCATGTTAAAAGTTAAATTTTAGTATGACAACTTAATTATACAGAGAATTAGAGCAGTCATACTGCAAGCATACAATAATAACACAGTTATGAAAATTAAAAATTCTCTATAGAATTACAATCATCATTAAAAAAATTGTCCAAATATATAAAATGTTCCATTCAATTAAAAAAAATGAGAGGTTTGAATTTACAAAAATCAATCTTTAATTCTAAACTGAAATAATTTTCTGTCAGAATGATAAAAATTCAATTAAAACATTGAAGTATTAATTCTGCAAATAATGAATTGTTAAATCATCGTTAAAATCACATATTTAAAATTTTAAAAGTTATTGTATGATAAATTCACTTACTTTACGATTAATAATAGTAAATTGAGATTTTCTACAGTGCATACAAACTGATGCTTCTGAATCTGGCACCCAAACAGCAGCATGTTCTTTTGAAGGTTTTTTTCCAGCTATTTTTATGTATAAGAAATTTTTAGAATGACTTATAATAATGTATATAATTACAGCAGCATTTCATTAAAATATAAAATCTTAAATACAGTAGAGCATCATTTATCCAAATCAATTGGGGACTGGAGTTGTTTGGATAACTTATTTTTCAGATAACTGATTACGTACAAAAAATATATTAACCTATCCCATGTTAAAATTTTTCTCTGCTGCGTGTCGCTTCGTGTTGAATTTTCATCGATGTTAAGCCTAACAAAAATTTTATAATAATAATCGTGGCTATTGTATCATTAAAAATTATTTCTTTATTTTGTACAAACAAAATAAATATATTGAAAAATATAAAAACAAAAAAAATTATACTTTAGAAGTTAATCTAGTATCAAAAACGTTCAATTCAGCACGACACGCATCCTAACACACAGTACTCAGAAAAACGTCACACAAAAGTGCCAGTCCTGCCAGCTAAAATACACACACCAACAAAAAAAATATTGAAGTAGCCCAAGACATAGCCAAAGGTTGCAGCACCACAGCACTAGAAGAAATTTAAATTTTCTGACTGGAATGTTTTTAGTTAACCAATGTTTCAGTTGACCAGCTTTCGGATAAACGACGCTCTACTGTAATTAGCAACTTTTGGCATCAATTGGCAATAATTATTTTCATATCTACTTCTATTGTATAATTCTGCTCTGAATATCCAGAGGAGGTTCTGAACTTAGTTTTTAATAATAGACATTGCATATTATATTTTTTAAGGAAAAAAAAATAATCTAAACTCTAAGATAATCAAAATAACATTTACTTACTCTTTCTTATTAAATCTTCAACACATTTGTTAATATGGGCCATCCATTCTGTTTTTTCACTAGCAGTTGCTGCATAAACAGCAAACGATTTTGTTGGGGTTCTAATTAACCATCCATTCTTTACAGCTATTTAAAAAAAAAATATCTTTTAATTGCATATTAATATAAAAATCTTAAAATTTGATCAATCTAAGCATAATTGATCAATCATTTTATTGATGATAACAGCAAGATTATAATTTGGTTATTTATGTTTTACATGCAACATGATTATATTAATAAAAAATAATCAGATTTCACTAAAATAATATTCTAAAACTTTAATAATGTAAAAGTAGTTAAATTATCAAAATAAATATGTATATATGTATAAATTTTCTATGGAACATTTGAATGTTTATTTTAAAAACTTAGTTTTTATTCAAATAGGATTTACAAAAATTTCAAATATACTATTTCCTTAATCTTTTCGTTTTAGGAACAGGTAAAAGTCTACTTGGGTCAATTTCCCAGATCTGATTCCAATAGATTTAGCTGTTTTTGAAGGTGAAGAATGTAGAGAGGTAGTAATTTGTGTTTATTTGGTCTCAGTAGCTATGGTAGACACGTAACAAACAATCACAGAAAATGGCTTACACAACTGCATCCAACTATGATACATCCATTGGGAGAAATGTGGAAAGTATTTCAAAGTAGTATGTAGCAAAAATCTTCTTCAAGCACTGCAACTTCTTTGATCTTATTGACTGTACTATACTGTATGTTTATGTTTATCATTAATATTTGTAAATTTTTGAATAAATTTTGCCAAAACACCACCACCCAAGTTTATTTAGGCATTACTTGTTATCTATTTGTACCACAACTTCAAATTTACTTTGGGCATTAATGGTATTACAGATATTTTATAAAGATTTAATAAATCTCAAGGAAAACAATGTTTGTAACAATCAAACTTTAACAGGAATTTGTTTCTAAAAAATTTACATTTTACAATGATTATTAATTATGACAATGTTCAATAAATAAGAATTAACAATGCGCATTCTAAAATATAATACTTTTTGAAAATAACAGTTATTATACAGAACAAGACTATTCTGTTACACAGAAGTAATTCTTTAATTTCACCTAAAACTTATTTTATCTCAATGATACAGCCTTTCAACTACCAACATTAAAATCATATTTTAAATGCAATTCTCTGATGGTCCTTTTAATTATAGTAAAGATCCTATTTTTGGAATAGCACTGGAAATTTAAATATATTGAACTGTATCATGCATATCACAATTCTTCTTTTTAAAACTTTCTAGAATCTTTATGCTGCAAACATATGTAAAACATCTACAGAATACATTGGAAAAAAATCCTACTTCAAAATCAATACACTTTCTGGAATTGACGGATTTCATTGATTTTTATAAGAATTACTTATGAAAAAATCCAGACGATGAATCACTAATATACTTTTTTATATTTTCAATTATAGAATTCTGTCAGATGGCAATTAAACAGACTTTCTCTTCAAATTTATTATTAAACTACATTTTATGCCTTTTTTTTTATTCCAATACAAAAGATTACATACCTCCCTCATCTTCTAAGTTCTCCAATTTTACTGCTTCCAAAGGAATAATATGCTGCTTGTTGTACTAAAAATAATAATTTTTAATTAATTATCATCATCATCATTTTTAATCTTAAATAATAATGTATTTTAAAAAGTTGAGTAGATTTGAAACAGGGAATAAAAATATTAAAACTAATTTTTAGGTCATTTGTTACTAGGTGTATGCACAATATATCAATCATGTATTAACTATATCAAATATATAATTATTAGTTTTAATATTTTATTAGAAGTGTGGTAATAAATATATTTTGAAATAAATTTCAATTTGATACTAGTATACTTTTATTAAGTTTCTATTTTAAAAATACTCTGTTCTTAATAAAAAAGAAATCTAAAATGTTCAACTAAAGGAGAAAAAAATTTAAAGTCTAGTAACCCCTAAAAAGATCTCTCTCATGCCCCAAGTTAATAACCACTGTTCTATACTATGAAACTAGTGTGTTGGATTGTAAAAACTAACATTTTCCAATAACTTTTACTTTATTTTCCTACTCAATTTCATAATTATAGAATTTTTTGGTTTTATTATTTAACTAAACTTTCACTCTATTTTAATATTGAAATTTGATACTTGGGAATTTTCAAATATAATTATGAATATTAGAAGGGGAAAAATAGGAATTTATGTAATTAGGAAGTTACACAGTTTGATATGATAATGCACGAAAAATTTTACTTCCTAATTACATAGAAATTATATTACGTCATACAATTTATAATCAGCATATTAGTGTGTATTACATTCTTTATCTACTTGTATAATATTAATTGTTCTCTGTTCAATATTTTTCCCTCCTCCAAAGTTTAAATAAAGCAGAAATAAGAAATAACAACAACTTTTAAAAACATAAATGAATAACTTAATGCTTATAAAAGATTTAGTAAAATCATTATATACATTTTACAATTCATTGTAACACTAACTGGATTTTCCATGTATACGTTAATTAATTAATTAATTTGACATAGGGATATGTTATATTTACAAAAAGCAGCTGAAAAAACTAACAATATTTAAAATGAAAGAAATTTTTAGAAGTGCAAAATTTACTCTAATGATAATTTATGTTCAGTAAAATAAGTGATAATACATATATAGTCCTCTCACTAATTCAAACTTGCAATAATCCAAACATATTTTCTTCAATTCCTCACTAAATGTTGCAAGAAAAAAGTTTGTAAAATTAATAAGCACATTTTAACAAATACAATGTCTTCCAAGTGAATGCTGATATTTTAAATTATTGCAATTATTTTAATTATTATCCAAGAAGTATGCAAAGTACACCAATGGACAGAGTAACCATCCAAGTTTCACCTCCCACCTGCATTCTAAAATCTCTAGGAAGTGCTGTAAACAAAAATGGCAACTTCAGCAGAGAAGGCATTTTGTGTTCTGCAGTTTTGCAAAGTTGAAATTACTTATCATTGTGTAATGCAAATAATATGAAGGAATCTTAGAACTGCAGCTGCTGTGAGAGTGACAATGGATTTGTTGTAGCCAGCATAGGAAGAATTTGAGTATTGGTTGGATGTATACCATGCGACATGAAGTGCACACATTGAGGAATTGTAATAGGTCAAATGTGAAACTTGAACAGTTTTTCAATATTTAATGTCATTTTCATGTTCTCAGATAATAATTAACGTAATTACAATCATTTAAAGTGGTAGCATTTTTTTGAAAAACTGTATACATATACCAAATGCAGTGTAATAATGTTTTTTAACATATGTATTTTTCCATAGTCCTTTTCAACTCTCTTTGCTTTCTATATAACTCCACTAATCTTAGCTTTTCATAATCCAGATAATCTCACATAATAACTAGTTCAGGATAGTGAGAGTACAGTACAACAAAGTTAATCAACATAATATAATATTCTGTTCAAATTAAATTTCTCAATATATAAAATTTCTAATGGAAAAAACATATAACATATCAATTTCTCATATTTTTGTAGAACTTCAAAAATATTTACCTTTTTCTTTGGTATAATAATATTGCCATATACTAGTATATCGTTAAATAAAAAAAATTGACGGGGTTTTGGCTTTTTTCGGCACATCTTGGTTAAAACTCCATCGCCGACCAACACACGACCCTGAATGGCAAGTGGCTATAAAAGAAAAATAATATGACTTTAATATAAAATATAAATTGTCTTTGGAAGCTGTTCTAATATTGTTCCCAACCATATTTAATAATCTAAATAGAATTTTAAATGAAAAAATTCTGATGTTATTTGAAATCATTTGAAGTCTATAGCAAAAATATTTTATAAAGCATGTCGTAATCTGAAATTACTCCTTTTATGTTACAAAATCAATCTGTGTGTTATGTAATTTCTTTAAATCTACTGTACAAATTTTCCAAGTATATCCTGTTTTATTGATTTCCTCACAGGCTTACCACTATTTAATTTGTCTGCATGTATCTTTGGAATCAGCTATTAATTTTGTAAAGAATATTCTCTCCAAATTCTTAAAAATATATATATTTTGTCCTAAAATTTTTAATTATTATATAACATTTTTGCAAAAACTCAATACCAGAGAGGCTCTTGCAAAAATATATATATATACACATATTGTCTTCATAGATATGCTAAGAAAAACAGTGTAAAAAATTTTCATTTCCTATGAATTCATTAAGAAAATTTTTTAATTCTGAAAAATTTAAGTATAGTAGCCAGAAATATAATTAATTTTTCTAGAATAAAGGTTAAATTCTGTTGTAAAAGCTGACAATTTCTCCAGTGAAATATATCTATCACCAAATGACCTGCCAGATGTTTTAATAAGTCTACATTAAGGTTAGTTAATAATAGAACCTAGTAAAAAAGATTCAGCAGCTCATTTGGTAATACAAGTGTATCAGTTTGTTCTATACATTATTATAAACATATCTACTTTTTTTAATTTAAAAACAATCAAATTACCTCGCCAGAGCTGCCAAAACAGTACTCCACAGTTGCAATTCTTTGAGCATTTGCTTCACTGTTCACTATTAAAAAAAATTCACTCATTTTAAAAACCGCATATGTCCAAAATATTAATTAATAATAAAAAGCAATAAAATTAATAGCAAACTTATCAACAACCAGATGGGTGAGGCAGTAAAGGCATCAAAATGACACTTCCAGAGATTCTCTTTGAGTCCAATTAACTCAAATTTTTGTAGATGGTTAAACCTGGATTTGTTAAGAGTCTGACCAAATCATGCTGGATATGCAAATTGTCTTAGTGCCCATGAGGTAGGGAGAGTTAAAAAGAAATTAAAAAAGATACGGCAAGATACAGATCATTATTACAAGCCTCAACAAACAGTAGTCAAAGATTCTGTAGTCACGACAAAGTTTCGATTTTATAATAATGATTATATAAAATAATGAGAACATAAGAATGTTTCTTTAAACCTAAATTTAAAATTCAGATAGGATTTAACCAGTGATAAGATGTGTTGAGATAGCATGGAAAACTCATTAAATTTTATTTAAATTTAATGAGTTTGCAAGCTTGTTATTAATGTTTACATTCAAGAACCTTGTAAGTATAGATTATTTCCTTGTATATACAATATTTTTTCTCTATTAACAAAGACTGACACAAACAGCCTCTCAAACAAGTAAATACCATAAACTGACATCATATTTTGTAATAAGGACTGGCCTATATTTGTATCATAGTGGTTGGCAGTTTGGCACTGCATGTTTTATGGTATTGCAGATAATAGCATAGCATGCCTTGACTGTCATAAATAAATGTGCAGATAATGGAGAGAAACATCAATCAAGAAATTGACGATGAGGACAGATTATTTTAAATATACGATATCTAGAAAAAGAAAGTTCTATGTTTATAGTACATAACAGAAAGACAAAATAGAATTTATAGTCCTATTATATTTTATATGTAATCTAAGTAATTATAATTTTAAAGATTTGGTGGAAGAGGTCTTGTCATTAAAAATTAAAGAATTTCCAGATTCAATTAGAAATACAAGAAATATTCTTTCTTTTATTGAAATCAGTGCTGGAGTTAAATAAACTTTTAACATGTTACTTTAACAGGAACATTTTTAATAGCAAAATATAAATCAGATTTGATAGCAATCTTTTTAAACAGTAGACTATTGCATTGATTTAATTCAGATTCACACAATCTTTTCTTCATGATCAGCCCTTAGCTGTTGAAAATAACAGAAGTCCTGCAATATGATATATACAGACAAAGTAATTTTTATATATAAGTTTTTTGAAAAGTTAAATAATGTACTTAACTGTTTTAATTAAAATATGTTTGCTGGAAATTTGTGTTTAGGTGTTATTTTGTTAAAACATATCCAATTTAGATTAAAAATGAATTTTGAAGTTAAAGTATCACACTGGCAGGCACTATTAATAAGAGCAAAACATATGCCTAGACACACAATGGACTAACTGGTAACATTTTTTTAAACACATCTAGTTGGATTAGATTAAAGGAAACAGTTACCAAATTTTCTCCATCCTAAAGGCATTAAGAGGGTTCCTTTAACCATTTCCATTACAGGTTCAGCCAGGCATATAACGGAGATAGTTGTGTGATGAAGAACGGAACTCAAGGTATCCAAGACAGACCCCACCCAAAAATATTTCTGAGTTCTTTGCCAGGATTTAATTTCAGGTCTGCAGAGCAAAAGCTTTACTACCTCGGCTATTAATAAAACATGTATATCTCACCACTGTACCTTACTACCTCCTACTTTTTAGTTGAATTTGGGAATTCCAATTCTAAATTTTTCTCCAAAACTTTAAAAAATAAAAATATGAATAATTTCTGTAGAATGTTAAGCACAAAAAAAATTATAATGTGGTTTTATTTAGATGTGTTTTCCAATTGATTTTGCTTGTCAACCTCTTTACAAAATGAAATTCAATTCATGGAATTCTTTCCACACAGATACAAAACAGAATAAATTATAAATGAATGAAATAAAGAATAAATATGAAAAAAAACAAAAACGTCTTTTCATTACTTTAACAAAGTTTGATGATACTCTGTTAAATTGAGGATAAGTGTATTTGTGTTTGTGAGTGTGCAACTGGTTTTTTTATACAGTTGAAAAATCATGTAAATTGAATTATGTCAGTATAGAAAAAGAAGAGAAAGAGATAAGTTCATGTGTGTTATTAAAACAAATTTAAATTTTATTCATTTTTACTGTCAGTAAAATACAAACCAAAACACAACCATTTTTCCTAACTGGCACAAAATTACTAGTCATCAAGTGAAATATATACTAGTTTTATTTCAGTTTTATCATTGACCTCTCTCTCTTTATTTTGAAAAAAATAAAAAAAAACATTCCTTTTTAAAGATAAAAATGTTTAAAAAAAAAAAAAGCAAATTCTTAACATGATTTATTTAAAACTTCTATTTGAGACTTCTTAAAAAAAATCAACGCCGAATCAAGTGAAAATAATGCAAACCAGTTTATGATTAACTCACCGACCTCGAGTGGAATTTTAAGAATTAATTTCAATGAAAATGGTACAAATCAAGTTTATTTGTGAAATATTAATATTTAAGTACTACCTACACTGTCAAAAACTGTTTTCTTAAGTTTTGTATGTATTTGTTTTAGAATTATACAGTGTCTTCCAAAAAAAAAATGCTACCATTTTAAATTATTGTAATTATGCTAATTAATATTTGAAATCATCATAATGTACATTAAAACATTTAAAAACTATCCAAGTTTTGCATTTGACCATTACAACTTCTCAATGCACATAATTTGTGCCGCATGGCATACTTCTGACTGATACTCAAATTCTTTCGAAGTTCACTATGGCATAGCCATTGTCACTTCTCCCAAAGCAGTCACAATTCAGCAACTCTTGCTGATTACTCATGTTGCACAATGATAAGATTCTGACTTCATAAACTTCAGAACACAAATGCCTTCTGTATTGGAGTCACCAGAAGTCTTAAAGGTAGTAGATGATAGCACGTTTGAATGCAAAGGGAAAACGAAATTTAGACAATTACTCTATTGATTGTGTACCTTGAACCCTTCACAGATAACAATTTACAACATTACAGTAATTTAAAATGGTATCATTCATTTTGGAAGACCTCATGTAAGTATAATAATAAATTTTAATCATACAACTTTACCATAATATTACAACAGTTAAATATGAATATTCAAAATGTTTTTCATATTATCGAAATTTTAAAAGTTTAGTTCCTAGAAGGTTACACAATAATTAATCATTGAAAAAAATTTAAATTTGCTTCTATATTCTTTTTAATAATTACACATATGTAACTATCTTGCACACAATTGCTTACAATATACTTATTCAAATAATATAGAATTTTGTGATGAAACTGCATTATTTTTTGAATGATTTATTGACCTCTAGACCTAGAAGCAAGTGATGTTGCCATCTTATATTGAAATTAATAACAAGAATTGATTTATAACAGCTGAAACAACATAATCCAAAAACAGGATTCAAACCATGAATACATTTCAATGCATATTTAAAATTTAAAAATTTCTAAATTATAATTTACACAATACAGCATTATCTCGTTTGTTTTTAATTTAACTACACATATTTTTCAATTTATTAATTCACACAAATACATCTTCATTCCTTATTCATCGATTCCAACAAGCCAACTTTCGTAATTTTTGTCGTAACTTAAAGTTTTAAAACAATTTTTAAATTATCCACTTATTGCTAAGTACTAAAACTGTTAATCATATTGAGCTTAGTTTACCAAATCAAAGTATCATTTAAATGCAATAATTCTTTACTAATAAATGACCAGTTAGAATATATATTTTGAGTATCAAAAGCAGCTAGGACAATGAGTAGCTTTTACCAGATATAAAAGTTATCAATTTTAGAAGAACAGCATTATACAAAAGCTATAAACCATAAACATGCATTCCAACAGAATAATTTGCAATTATTACTTCATTTTCATCACACTATTTTATTACTTGGAACTGTCTTTTTTGAGGAATTCTTTTCACCAATTTTCAAATTGTAAAATGATTTTTGACACTCAGACGAATGCCGTTCCAAAAAAACTTTCCAATAAGGCCTTGTCTTTTTTAATCATAGAATTGATACTAGCAAAAGCAAGATTGGAAAGAGCAATGCTTTCACAACTTTAATAAAAAAGTAGCAAAAGTCAGTTAAGTGAGAAAAGCTACAAATTATGAATATTCCTGCTACTTCTCATCAGAAGTTAAACAGTAAGATGCTCAGATTCTAGTAGTATTCTAGTTAAATGCTGTTATCTAACCCCATTTAGGACAACCAGGTTAAAGTTCTGATTAACATCAAGTCCAGTAAATAGTCATAAAACCAGCCAAATCAAGAAATAGCATCAAAAAAGACTATGTAGATTGAGTTGGCACATCTTACCTACTTTTAACATTTGAACAAATTTAAATATAAGCTACAAGTCTAAAAAAACAGCTTGACAATAAACATAGCAGTAATTAAATATCTTGTGACAATGTTAACCAATTCAGAAGGTTTACCATTGTGAGAGCCGAACTTGGTGAAATGGTTTGTTTAAATTTTTTTTTGTGGGAAAAAAAATATTTTTTTTTAGTTTAGAGATAAACAACAAACTGACATTTTAAAGAATAATAAAATTGTTTTCCCACAGATTTATTTCCTGGTTGAAGATGATACATCGAATGTGTCACCCAGAATCTACGAGAAGAAGAAAGAAAACCCTATTTGTCAGTGGTGAAAAAATAATCCTAATAAGGCAGTGAAAAACCCAATGATGGCCCCCTTTATAAAAAGGAAGGGTCGATGCATCAAAGACAGTCTCCAGAGTTAAGTGAACTGTATGATTACGTGTGTGAATTAGCCGCTGCCAGTGACTGTTCTAATCACCGCCATGCGGGAAGACCATCACCTACGAAACCTCATCGTTCAAAAGAACTGTGTGCCCTCTCAAGATCCAAGGACTAAACTTCCA